TAAATAATAATTTTTAAAAAATTTATATATTTATATATATTTTGAGATATATATAATTTCAATTAATTGTATTATTAATTAATTCATTAATTGTATTTCATTAATTTTATTTATATAAATTTATCTAAACAACTTATATTATTAAAGTTTAATATCGAAGATATTAAGAAAATTATTTTTAGATATTTGTGAATATATATTGAATGTATATAATATTGAATATAGTGAATATTATGAATATATATTGTATTTATATGAATAGAAATTTAATTGTATGTATTATATATTATTTTTATAATAAAAATATATAATATTTTATTATTAAACTGTATAAATTAAAGAAGTAAAAATGAAATAAATCATTAAAATTTTTAAATATTCCTTTTAAGAAATAGGATAGTAGTTTGTTAGGGCTACTCCATATAATGCTCCTTATGCACATGGTTCCGGGGACTTGCGCGTTGGAAGACTAAGGAAAGGCGCGTGGGGTTTTTAGTTGGTAGTCCCTGCCGTTAAAATGGCGGCAGGGAGAGCCCAACACTACCTCGACGGGACCGCTAAATAGCGGTCCCGTCGGGGTGTGCATAAGGAGCATTTTCCCCACGTAAAAAAAAAAAAAAAAAAACTTGTTAAATTATGTTGTATTACATTTCAAATTATATTATATTTTAATAATGAATTTCAACGATGAATAACATAATATCCGACATAAACAATACCGTGCCAATGATTTTGTTTTACGGTTTTGTTATGCAAATTTAAATTTATATACTATATTGCAAACTAAATGCTGCAATTGTATATATTATATTATATATAAAATTATATATAATATAACCCTCCCATGGGGTACACCTTGTCGCGGTGGGAGGGCTTATTACTTGGATGGTGTCTTGAGATTTATCTTAAATTTTTCTATTTATGATAAATCTTAAGGTGCTTGAAAGGAAAGCTAAGTACCCTTTCGCGTCGTCGGTGCCGTCAACGTGCCGCGGACGGCAAGCGTTTCGTTACCGCGTTTTCGCGTTGTAGTATTCTCGCGTCGTCGCGTTTTCGCGGAAATTTTGGACTTTTTCATATAAAATCCCAATTTCATTTATTGTCACGAGTCTCTACTTCCGATGCCAACTAACTGGGATGTTTCGAGTTTGCACACGTTGTTATGCAACGTACACTCGCGCTTCGTGCTTCGTACTTCGTCAAATGATTCGGCCCGAATTAGTTAGAACTCGATCGATTGCTCGGAATGGTCGTCAATGGGTCCCTTCTCTTTGCTCGTCTACCCTACAGCCACACGCACTGCGTGTGTTAACCCTGTCGAGGAGTCGAGTGGATTCCCCTAAGCATGATTTTCGCTCGGTAAAAGGGGTTGCCTCCCCATTTTTTAAATTGCTGAATGTTAGCATTTAAAAAATGTGGGTATCCTCTTCTTTTGCCGTCTACCAGCCTGGTGTAGCCATATCCTGCATTGCGGGAAACTTCGTGTTCCGGGCGAAGCACCTGAAATCATGCTTAGCGGGTCCAGGTTCGATACGAGATAGGATAATTATGCGCGAAAAAGAGCTGGTGAACTTTATTTTCCTCTATTCCGTCAATCGTTTTGTCTTCTTTCCGGTTCGGGCCTAATCTTTGCTCGTTGTATCGTTGCATTCCCGACCTGTTGGCTCGAAATTGATTCTCGCGAAATGAAATGGGATTTTCGCTCGTACCGAAACCGGGAGTGCCGTTAAAAGTATATACATATTAAGTATATACATCGCGCGATCAAATATAAAATTTTTAATCGCATCGAAATAGTGCGGGAGTGCCGTTCAGTATCGCGCGTAAAATAACGAAAATAGCGATATAAAAATATCGCTCGCGAGTGCGGGAGTGTCACGCGCCAACAACATGAGAGGAGGAGGAGGCCTGGGAGGCATCATACATCGGCGGAGCAACCTGATGGTGAATATCTATTATTTATATATTAATTGTTATAAATCGTTAATTTGTTATAAACGAACAATAATTCGATCTTATTTAAATAATAATTAAAGATTATTATTCATTTAAATAATGAATTAAAGAGAAAGATTTTTATAAAAGTCATATAAAATTTTCTATTTACAAAACAATTTTCTATTTCAAAAATTTATAAAATTTTTCCATACGTGTTTATCTGTTTATTATTTTACACATTGGATTATAAAATTCTCGATAAAAATTATTTTAAATATTAATTGTATTTTATGAGCATTATTATAAATGAATTTTATATTTGTATGTTACAGACAACTAGCTTCGATAACAACAACTCCGCTGTTGCGCATCAGTACCGGTGAGTGAAAAAACTTTTATTTAACTTTAAGGTAACGGATTCGTAAAAATTGCAGATGTAGATGTAGATTGTAGATTGTAGATAAATCTGTTACCTTAAAATGGATGAGCTAGGATGGATTAAATTAAATTAAATTAATTAAATTAAATTAAATTAAATTAAATAATTTTAATAAGTTCTTTCGAACTTATGCTTTGCATCTATTGCGAAAATATATTGAAATATTAATTAAAAAAAGAAAAAATCAAGAAAAGATTTTTTTGTAAAGATTTTGTCTAATTTATTAAATAAAGAACACGCACTAACAATTATCAATTTTATCAATTTTTGATGCTAATTTATTCTTATAATACATATAATATTCTTATAATAAATCTAATAAACTTATTAAATTCTATTATTGCGTATCGATTATTAATAATAAATATCACATAATTAATCAGTCTTGTCTGGACTATGTAAAAATTTTTAGTAAATTATTAGTAAATTTTATATTATACGTATATTTTGGACATTTTCGTGTAATAAATTATTCCATGTAATAAATTATTTTGTATTACGTTTCAAATTATATTTTACATTTATATAGAGTTTAATACAACTTTTATATTAAACTCTATAAAATTAAAAAAAATTTTTCCTCCTCGATGGTATCTTCACCTTAACGAAGGCATTTGCCGGGTGAGGAGGTTTGAGTACTCTAAACCTGAGAGGCGGTAACGTACATCGATATTTATATAAATTATTCTTATATTTAAAATCATCTCTTAAGTGCTTAAGATTCTATTTGACTAATAAAATGGTTATATAACATTTTCAAACTTTACTTAAAATGATCTTAAATATAAGAAGACTATGAATATAGATCGTAGTTACTGGTATTATTATCCATGCCAGACAGGTCGAAGGGAAAGAGTCAGATACCTAAGAGAGATACCAAAATTATATAAATATATGTTATATTAAGTATATTTTTGAACAAAATGAAAGAAAAATACCTAATATAACTTTTAATTTTGTATTTCAAATTAAATTATTATTTTAGACATAATAATTTCCTTTCTTTGCATTTCTATTGTAATCTAATCGATTGTTCTACTAATCGATTGTTTCTCTTTGATTTAAATTTGCGATGCTTAACCGCATCGTGAAGAAAATCGCGCTGATGTCAGACTGCACGTCATTTTCACGCAGGGAAAGTCGTACGGGCTATATTCGCACCTCTTTATTCGTCTTTTAAAAATAAATAATAATATATAAAAATAAATCCAATATACTGTGCATTTTCTACGTTATTGAACTGAAATTGCGCGAAAGAGGAAAAGAAGAACAAGACTATGAATAGATATTTCCATCCTTTATTAAAAAAAACAAAAAATATCAATTATTTCTTTTTTCGGGCAAGCCTACATATATGACCAATATGATTAATTGATTTTATATATTTATATATTTTCTTTATATATTTATCATTATGTGCTATTAATTAAAGCCGTAGACAATATTCAGAATTCAAAGTCGCGCGAACGTCGAGCGTAATAATGGCCATGCGCAGAAACGAATGCGCACCGGTTCGGCCGCCATGTTAGCGCGTCATGCTACGTCATCACGCCATACGTGAATCGGAGTCATACGCAGTTACACGGATCGTCGTACATCCGCACTTTTCGCGTCTTTTAACCGTAAATAAACGAATATCGCGAGTGAACGAACGTCGAGAGTATCCAAGGGTGATCGTGCGACTTCCATAATATGTCGGTGAAAGTGCGCGACAGCTATTTTCCACAGTTTCGGTGATTGCGCGATCGCGAAGATGGAGTGAAGTTGCGTCGCATTATTCGCGTCCTTGATGATGATTATCGGATGCGAGCGAGTATCGGGAGTGCCGAATAAAGTGTCGCACGTTCGCGTTGATGATATCGTGTGAGTTTGTGTGCATCAAGATCGGAATAAGACGTCCCGAGGCGAGCGAATGGAGCGGCCTGTGGAACAGCCGGTGAACGGTGAGTAGATTTGATTTATCATATTTGCGTGACAATTCGTGCTCATTCGACGCTTATACAGCATCGCGATGTCCCGAATTACGTTCGGGCAAATTGGCGCCGCGTCATAATTCGATTCGACGCGATGCAATTCAAGGAAAGTCAATCGGGTGAAGATAGTTAGGCTAGAAGCGATTTGAAGTTTATTTTGTAACGCGCGTGCAGGGCTTGCGCAGCCTATCTTGTAGGGCTGCCAACTGTAAAATGATGAAATAATTTTTTCGATCTAACCCAACCTAACCTCTCAGTGTCTTCAGATGTCGAATGTAAACACGAGTATATGTTGCATGGATTTTACCATGCTTTTAAAAATAATATTTAATCATTAGTGTAATACATTTTATTATGTAGTATATTAATCGTATTAAATGTACGAAAAGTGGTACAGTTTTACACATTTTAATGAGAAGCTATAATATGAGAATATAATATCAATAAATAAATCAGAATAAAAAGCACTACATAATAAATCAGAATAAAAAATCATGATATTAATTTATTGTTGAAATTTTGTACATACTAAATGACGATGTAATGTATATATACATATAAAGATACCTATAAAGAGAGAAGGAAAGAGAGGACTACAAAATACATTTAAATTAAAAATTTATTTACATTTATATACAGCATTAGTGCTACCGATATTTCGTGCACATAGCACGGAACAGAACCGGAAATTGTACACGTTATATATGTTACCCTCTGAGAACACTCGTCAATCTTAGCTTTGTAGTTCACATCCACGTGTTTAGGGTCCACAGAGAGCGTATTACTTTCAGGGATCATCTAAAAGCGAGCGTCATAATAGTTTTCGATCTTCTCTGTCTGGAGTTACATAGTTGAAAACGTATTTTTGTAGTGTTTGTAATTATAAATTATAATGCAAATAAGTATGCATTAAACAATGGAAAGGGACAGTCACAGTTGTTTTATTACTGCGTCTGGATTCTGTCCGGATTGTGGTTCAATTTTGCCATTACTGGATGAAAGTAAAGATACCGTTGTATGTTTTGCATGCAAAAGGGAATGGAATGCTGAAAGTACGTACTCCGAGTTACAAGAAAGTATGTAAACATGATATTCAAGTCTCAATTATTTAAAAAATACATGACTTAGAGTTTCATTGAAATACTACTCAAGTGTGCTAATGCGAAATCTTTCACATTCAAAATTAATAGAATTATTATATTCAATTATAATTACAAGAATTTACATTCGTTTGAAAGTCAGGTTTTGATTTCATCTTTTTCAGCTTTCGGGGATATGAAAATGACACATACAATTCATTTTAATTCTAAAAACACTTATATATCCGCCAGAGAAGCAGATGATAGTGACGATGATGCGGATGGACCAATTGTAGAACGAGCATGTCCTCAGTGTAAAAACGATAAAATGTCATATGCTACATTACAATTAAGATCTGCTGATGAAGGGCAAACTGTGTTTTATACGTGTACGAAGTGCAAGTATGTTTCTACGCAAAACAATATTATCGCTTATATAGACTATTTATATTTGTTTATATTAATCCCTTGCGATTAGATGAATGCTGATTGCCAAAGCTTTTTCAGCACTATATAATCCGCAAGAGGATTAAAATAAAATATATCAGATTTTTATATTGCTCATAATATTTTATTAATATTTTATTAATAAATAATTTATCTTATATTTGCAGATACAAAGAAACAGAGAATTCGTGAAGTAAAATTTTTGATTACATATATTATTTTGTAAAGTACTTGTTGTAACAAATATATGATTTTTTTTCTTTTATTTTCTTTTTTTTATATTATATGAAGTAATATATTGAAGAAATATAAAATTCTTGATGACAATTGTAATTTTTTAATTTTTTTAGAAATTTTATATTTTGCATATTTTATTGTATATTTTATTAGAATGTGCAGAATATATGTAATATTAATCTACTAGTTTATTATTAAGCGATCCATATAAATGCTTAATAACAGGATAGTTAAGATATAAACACTTCGTCTCTTAATAAAACATAGAGCTTTATTTATAATACACTCAACAAATAGTGGTGAAAGAGAGTACATCTGTCATAATTTTATAACTCTACTGGGCCATTGTTACAATATCTTCTTTCTAACAATGCTTTATTACCTTAATGTTCAATTACCTTAAGTGTTCAATTAAGTAATTCTCTATGTACAACATGTGTGTCAGGATAAAAGTTAACAATTATTTTAATAAATTCATCTTGATCCACTCTTGAAATTGTTACAGTGGTCCTTGCATTAAAAAACTTTAATAGTTAGAGAATTTGTCGATAGTTTCTTATTTAGGTATATATAATATATATTGTGTGCATTTACACATTGGCACTAATATTTGCCCATAATCTAATAATAATAAGAAATAGATATGATATCTCATTTTAAGAAAAAGATGTCTCGATAAACTAATTGCTGTCTAAAGTTTATATTTAGTTCTTATATAAACTATAGAAATACAAATATGATATATAAAGTGATGTAATTGCACTTTCTTAATACTCTGGTATACCCACAAACATTAGAATAGGGAAAAATAAAATTTATATTTGTAACTAAAAGATTTCTTCAATTTAATTAATACATATGGAATGTGTGAATTCTTATTTTTACAACTAAAATTTAACACACATCAAAAATTTTTAAAAAGCTTGCTCTCTTAAAATCTGTCTATCTTTGAAAAAAATTTGAATCGATTTTTCATTGAATTTTACAGATTTTAATATAGTATTTTCAAAAATATAAAGAATCTTGAAGTAAAGAGGGAGAACTGCGGAAAATATTTTAAATTTACTTCAAGTTATTTAATTATATATGATTTCATTATCATTTAACATATTTGAGATATCAACAGCATTTGATAATCTTGACAACAAAAATTTTTGCCATAGTAAGATAGAGTCCAAAGATCTCGAAAGATAGGATTTTATTATTTATACATCTCTCGCATGAAAACGCGTGTTCCTAATAATCTATGTATTAAAATAATATTATTAGAATTAATATTTTTACAACGCTGTTATCAAACGTGATGCACACACTTTCCAATATTATGCTCGATAGCATGTAATACATATGTCTTATAAAAAACATACATTTTAATAATTTGTATATATTATCATATACCTTTATTACATGTTCTCTTTTGGAAATGCTTTGTACATATTTTTATAATGAAATAGCTCTTTCTTAAAATGTGCAACAATTTCATCATGATTAAACTGATCTATCATGATACTAAAAATAATATCTATAGTTATCTATAACTATAGATCATTATAAAACATTCCTTTTACGTATATTTTCGATTTTGAAATAACTTGATTACTATTTTGCATATAATTTTCATATATAATTTTTCGGTTACCATGAATTGTATTTTGTGTTGTCACACTTTCTTCCAAATTACATTATATATTAGCAACGTTACAATAGTTGATCATAAAACAGTGCTGTGAAAATATGTAACGCTTCAAGAACAATTCTTTCTAAATACATTTTAAAAATTAAGTGGCACAATTCCATTTTTTTTTGTATGCAAAAGTTTGATTTTTACATTATATATTAATTGATTACATTGTCGGCGAATGTTGTAGAGTTCAATCAGCAAATTTGTGCTTGTACAATATTCTTACTTTATCTTTCGATTAACACAACAGTATAATTATATAGCACTAGCATCATCAATATCGTATATCAGAGTAAGCGAGATTAATTTATTCTCTTTTATGAAACTTTTACTTAACTTTTTGCTGAGTATTCCAGAGCCTTAAGATAACATATATGAGTTCAGAAAATTCAGTTTTGCATAAAAATTAAAATTGCTTATAGCATTTAAAAATATTGATTATAAATATATTATCGAAAGTTTAAATGTTGCATTGTAGATATTTAACAGATGCGTTTCAAATATGAATATGAATAGTTTACATGTCGCGTTGAATAGGCCGTAATAATTGTTTTAGAGGATCGTCGGTAATATTATTGTCAGACAGTATACGTAGTATACAATAACGTACTTTAGTTTTTTATCATCAGAAACAAATCAAGACATACATATAAGAAATTATTTGCGAAAAAGAAAAAAATATTTTAAACAGCCTAATATATATATACATATATATATATATATATATATATATATATATATAAATTATATATATGAATAAATTGAAAAATATTGCATATCCATATTTTCTTAAATGTTAATCACATTAAAAATATTCTTAATTTTTTCTTAAAATTTTAATATAGAAGATTTTAATATAGAAGACATCTTTTATTCTATTAAATTCTATATCATACGAAACTATTGGTTCTTGAAAATAATGTTTGTTTCTATTTTACTTCAAATGCGATATCAAATCTGATTCATAAAATTAGATTTTTCAAAAATGTTAGCCTCGTCTTAAGATGTAATAGCTGAACTCATATATGTAAATATTTTAATTGTAGTAATTTAATTTAATGTTGTACCAAAGAAGAAAAGAGACTGCGGTTATAGTAAAAGAATTGAACGAATTCAAATAAGAAACACGATATTCCAGATGATCAAATGTGTATATATTTAATTCAACTAGTTTTTAAAAATGCAATTTTTAATTTGAAGATACAAAATCTTTTATCAAATCGATACAATTAAATAATATTGACAGATGTTATTAAATGGAATTTTGTCAGTATCGAATCACGAAACTATGAACTTATAATTAGTCGTGTCAATAATCGATGTTCATTTGATCATCCGGAAAACAATAGTTCATGCATTAATACAACATTCAAAGAATGCTAAGATAAAACAAGTCGCGAATGTAAGTACGAATTGCAACGATACGATATAATAATACTTTGTGGGATGTGAATAGTTAGGCGACGGGGCCCGCGCCGTGATTAGGCCTTCGATGCACCGTTTAACCGGGTATCTTAAAAAACGTATCAAACATGTTTCTCACAGACCTGCCCTGCGTAGTTTTTTTTTCTTGATTCTGATTAAGTCAAATTATTCTATCTCTTTTTTTTTCGCTCTCTTTTTCTCTCTTTCTCTCTCATCTTTCCACTCCCCCTTGTAATTTCATCGCTATGTACATTTTCTAAAAACGCTCATGTTACATATTGTACATAAACTCTGTACATACGATAGATTATTTACAAATTGGTAAATGTGAGGCAGGTGGTGTACAGCGTCTAGATTGTCATCACTATTCCATGCTCCGATCATGATGATGTTTGAAAGCATTCGTCGAGAAAGTTTTCTAGCGAGTGATACAGATGCGCTCGCGATTGGACGATACCGTGGTCCTCGTCTGTATAAGTCTGCGAAGCACAATAATATTTATTTATCATTTCTATAGATTAGATTATATTTGTCACCGTCATCTCGATACTCATTGAGAATCGAATGAGACGCGTACCTGTTGTCTGAAGAGGATATCTTTCTGTTCCAACACTTTTGCAAGCATAAGCGATTGTTGGTAGTGCACATTGTCGTCTAGAGTCCCATGAATTAAATAGTACATCTTATTTTTAATATTTTCAACTTTGTTGAGTAACTGGCCTTGCTCGTAACCCTGTAGATTATCAGGAACGGTTGGCAAACCCATAAACCGCTCGGTATAAATCGAATCTGTAAATTAAACAATCATGATTATCTTAATAAAAATAGAATAAAATTGCTGAACGAAAAATGGAAGAAAAAAAATCGGTCCAGATATTCACACACACAGACACACAAACGCTATTATATACGCGCGAAATATTTTGTGCAGAAATTGCACAACTGACGCCGCATAAGTCTTTCTAACATCACCCTGTAAATCACGTGTATTTTTCTCGCGTGTTCTAATGAGGGGAGGTAATGCTGACACGAATTTAAAGTAGTTGAAAAAGTAACATTAAAACTGCAGCAGCACGTCTTTTTCACGAAGAATATTTTTCTTCGTTAAAATGTCGCCGCGTAAAAAATTCTTAGACAAATCCGAGGACCAAAAAGACTTAACATTCTCCACAAGTTTCTTAACAACATTTCCTTATAATAAAAAGTGTCAAGCGTATAATGGAAAAATTCTTCGTGATGTTACTGGTATATCACAATAAGCTGGAATACGTTGCAGTTTTGATTAATTTTTTACTTTTTCTATTTTATCTTTTTATAAACATTTCAAACGGGATATCTAGAACGAATCGGTAAATTTCAAAATGATTTAGCTCCATCTAAGATTAGATTTTACACCAATCGATTTTACTTAATTACATAATTAATATTTAATTCTAGTTTCAAGATACAAGTTTTTTCCTACTTAACATTGAAAATCCAACCACTTGTTGATAGAAAAGTTTTCCGGCTTTTATGTTATCGTAAACCAGGATTGGCTTACCCCTTATTGCCTTATAAGAAGAAGAGTAACTTTATGACACAGCTTTTGTTTTAGTCGTTTATTAAGAATCCTTCCTTTCTTTATTAGCAATCGTTAAAATAACCTGTATTATGCGTTAAGTAAGATTTAATAAATAATGAAAGAGGAAGAGGGTTATGCAGCTATCCTCATAAAATAATCCTGATTTACGATATCGAATCATTTTTCTTTTCTGCGACAGAACTTTAAATTAAATGTTATACCATGAAATAAATTGCCATCGTGTGTTGTGTCATTAGTTTGGTTTTAATTACTTTATTACGTACCATAAAGGGCCCAATCCGTAACGGGCGCGACGGACATTCCACACTTGAAGACACCCTTTAAATCCATGGCGAGTGTCATGCCGGTCGCGTATCCACCATAACTCCAACCCCATATCGCCGTTCTTGTACGGTCGATGAAGGATAATTTGTCCTGCAGATGTCTAAGAAAAAAAATGTTATATTTTATAAATGCTATTCGTGATATAAAATATTATTGAAAATATATGTTAGACATATGATTATTTATAATTGTGTGAATATCGCAAAAGACGCCAGTAGGAATCTAGTAATTCCATTTATATCGCAAATTACCTCAGCATAAGAAAAATGACTGTGGAAGAGAAAGAAAAATGTGAAAAAATGAGGATTTTTCTACTTACAAATTTTAAAACACGATATTTAAAGGAATTTTTCCGCGATAAAATCTTTTATCTTCATCTAAGCTCCAGCGGATCGCGCAGAAAAGCGCTACGAGATTGCCTCTTTTCGTCGAAGAATACCGTAACGCTCGTAAAAAAGACAATCCTTTCTCACTAAAAAGCATGCACACGGCGGAATAATCGAGCACTTTGATAAGAATCGATGTTACTTTGTAATTTCTGCTTCCCTTTCTCCATTATCTTGCGTGCACTCTGCTCGATTATACATGCGATCAGTGTGCTCATGTTAAAGAACATGGGGCATATAATCACCTTTCGCAAATTGCACGGATGGATTACAATTTTCTATAAACTAGCGCATTTATAAAAATTATTATTATTATTAATAAATAATTTATTATTATTAAAAATTCTCGAGAAGCCTAATTATCAACTATTTTAATGATTGTATTTTTAAATCGAATTTCTTCGTTTAGAACGTACATCATAAATAATAATTTTTCTCAGAGATACTAATATAAAATCTTGCAAATAAGCATATTTAGATAAATTTGATAAGGTTTATTTTGCATTTAATTTCGAATTTGCATTAATTTTGCTCTCTCTTTCTCTCTCTCTCTCTCTCTCTCTCTCTCTCTCTCTCTCTCTCTCTCTCTCTCTCTCTCTCTCTCTCTCTCTCTCTCTCTCTCTCTCTCTCTAACAGCATCTTATTTCTCCGATTATTCACTACTATAGAGGCAAAATTTTGAGAAAAGAAATTCAATCACAATATTCTTAGAGAGAAACGCACAGCACACAATTCGATCGAACCCATCGACAGGCGAGAGGTGTACGCGGTGACGATACCTCCGGGACCGTCCTATATATTTTTTAGATCTCCGTCGGAGATCGAGTGCCGCGTCCTGCCTCATGATTTCCGGAAACCCGGAGAGGGTTCCGCGCGCGAAGTGCCGCGCATCGCTCGCTTCATCCCCTTCATCCCTTGGACCCCCTCTCCCCGGGATGGAGTGGAAGAGAAAAGAAAGGGAAGAGAATTCGTATTTCTTCCTTCCAATCTCTTCGGACTATTGTCTCTGGCATCTCGTGTGTTCGATAATAATGGCCCCGCCGGGATCAGGGTGCCCATACCTATGCCCGGTCGAGCGCCCGTAGAAATAGTAACGGCTCCTCGTGCGGCGACGCGCGGCAGATTTCGTTTGCCCTCCTGCCCCCGGCTCGGTGAAATTTATTTACCTCGTAAATCGACCGGCGGTACGTTGAATTCTATTTCTTCTCATAAGGAGAAAAAAACAAGAGGGAGAGAGAGAAAAAGAGAGAGAAAACTCGAACCGAAACTGCGCTTCCCTCTTTCGCACACACGTTACGTATCCGAATAGAATACGTATTTCGGATCCTACGACGGTATTCCGGATGACCCTTTGTTTCGCCTTTTGCTCACCCATTGCTCGCTTGTTGCTTATCGAAAACGCCGCGACTCGATCACTGCGTGAATTTAAAGCAGGATTTTTCCGGCGCTTCGAATAAAGTCGCATCCGGGCTTAAATCATTGGGAGGTTTCGGAGGGATTAAATGAAATTGGGAAGGAGCGCGATAAAAATAAATACTAAAGAGCAAAGAGATAGATGTTTAAATCGCGATTATGGGATGACGTATTTTAAAATCTGATTTGGAATATCTTCTTTTTTATTATTACAAGGAGGAAAATACATATTTCATGCAATTTTCACGTCTTGTATTTCAGAAAATATAATTGCTTATCGGCATCAAATTTTTTCTCCAACATAAAATGATCTTGTAACAAAATTTTTGAATTTTTCAAATACTTTTAAAATTATTTCTCTCAATATAATTAGAAGTATACATATCTTTATTACTTGATGCTGTTTGTAAATATATTTTCTGAAATCTCTTGCATTAAGGATGTTTTGTATGTATAATCCCAGCAAAAAGTAGCTGAAAATCAATATTGACTATATGATCAATATTGAATATATCTGCTTTTGATATATTTTGAGTATGAAAATTGTGTGGAATATTATAATTTGATCTTAGCTACAGTGCAGAGATGTATTTTTTAATATTTATTTTTACTGAAATATTCCGAATCGAAATGATTAACTTTTGGCAGAGAATTTCGTCTTGTGACAGATACATGGCTAACTTCATTGAATTTAATATCTTTTTAACCAGTTAGTACTTTTATAATATTATTTGATCAAATATTTCTTCTGTATCTAAACTTTTGCAAATTTTAAACAAATTCTGAATATTATTTCCATGTGTCTTAGTCATTTGAATCGACGTGGTTATACGTTTCCCATAAGAACATATGTTAATTCGGTGCAAATTAAAATCCTTATAACTTGTGAACGCTTTAGTGAATCGATTTAAAAATTGTACTGAAGGTTCTAAACATATGTAAGGACAACTGTACAATTTTCCGTACAATTTTCATTAAATTCTCAATATTTTGAAAAGGTACAAAATAGGTACAAAACATCCTTAACTTTTTCTTAGACAATTTTTGGTATCTTTGCTTTTTATATAATTGTTATCTAATTCTGCAATTGTCAGTCCCAATTAACTACAAGTTCATCTGCAGTTAATTGGAGCTACGACTCTCTTATTTGAAGCAAACGATTGCTAATCGCTTTCTTTCAAGGGTTCATTTACGCTTATGAGGGGTGCGTCGCGTCGTCCCTAAGATTTTCGCGTTTCAACGCCGATTACAGCACTCGTTATTCACCGGTTAAGCGATCGTGGAAACAAGTGGATAGGACTGGTTAGTTCGGTTGGCCGACTCGATGACGGAACAAAGGCAGACAGAAAGGGAACAAAACGCAGGGGGTTTCGCGAAGGGATCGCCGAGCGACGAGCGGGTGGATGGAGCGGAGGGCTGCGAATGCGAGAAACGGAGAGGGAGAGATTCGCCGCAAACTGATGCGTAGGTTGAAAAGAGTCGGACGATTCCGCAATCGTTTGGACCGCTTCCAAGTTCGCGGCTCGCTTTTTACGAGCCGGACGCCATGCGATACCCCGGCAAAACACCATGCCGGAGAAATGCACGGATAGAGAATACGCTACTCGCGTTTTCGTGGATCTTTACATTGTCTGTGCTCACAATTGCGAAATTCGACGATAGAGAAGACGTGATAGTCAGGGTGACGGTATTTTCAAACACTGTCCGCCGTATCTCTTTTTCAGAGAAGTGACTTTTTGATTTCTCGGGAAATTTAAAAGCCTGTCACCCTATTAGTAATGCAAAAATTTCCGTAGTTCATGCATTGAGATTTTACTGACATTCTTCTTAAAGTTTGATGGAGATCGTCAGAAGTGGAAAATGCATCGCAAATAATTCAATATATAATTGTTTTTTCTTTTTTTAAGTGCAAGTATAAAATACCATAAAAGCATCATACAGGCATGTCGATGACTTTTGGATTATTCAATATTTAAATACTGAATTTAAAATGCATATGGATATCTCGAGATATCTTTCAGATGTTCCTTGAACTTCCTTCTATTTATGAATATTTCAGCCCATAAAAGGAAATAAGCCGATGTACAAAAGTAGAGTTTCGTGGTTTTTTTTAGGAGAAATTAATTATTTATATAACTAATTCGATTATTATTTTTAGAGAAGCAACTGTTTTCTTATCTGTATATTGAGATTTCTATCATGATATAAGAAAAGACGGACCATACTTTGTCCTCTCTTACATTACAAATAAAGAAGCCTCTCGTCAAGTGAAGAAATAATGAAGTTATAAAAGTCGGTACTTCGGTGAAGAAATAATGAAGTTACAAAAGTATTCGGAACAATACAAAATGAAGAGCGAGTTTGTAGCAATATGTGTCTGTTATTATTAATATTATTCGAAAGAGGATCCGAGGAAAAAGTGGAAAAACAGAGCAAATAAGGGAAAATACTGATTCCATCAAAATTTACTATTTACGCCATCGCGTTTTATCTCCGGTATATCTTCTCTCTCGCATCCTCGATTCAACATTTATTTCGAACATTGCCACGAACATTGCCTCGACACTTGGCGAACTTCTTGTTGCTATTGCCTAAATTACAGTGATTCCGCGCCGAGATTTGCGGAAATGCCAGCCTATGCGCGATGTCGAGTTTGCGGCTTCGCGGTTGCAGCGCGTGTCGTTTAAACGGTAAAGCATGACTCTCCCGGCGGTGGAATAAGCATTATTCATCACGGCCGGAAGTTTGATGTTTCGGTTTAAAGATGGACGAGCATATAAGTGGCGGAATTGTATGCCACCGACCTGCCCATTCTCTCTATCTCTCTTTTTCTCTCCCGGCATCGAGATAAATTACTTTGGCGGCAGCCGGTGAAAATACGAGAGGAGAACCCGAACTCTTTCCCTTTCCACGGAGCGGAAGGGAAGAGGGTCAGCCGATAAATTCAGATGAAAGTACGAGCAATTTTCTTCTTGTTAACGCACGCCGCGGTTCACGGACATCCGGGCCGTGAAAAGAACTTTGTTAAACCCGCGCTCTCTGTTCGTTCTGATCGTTACCGGAGTTAGATTAGTTAACTTAGGGGGTTTAGCGGATTACCCCGATCGCGGGACGATAAGTCACTTCGGAAAGTAGAGGCCGCAACTCTATAATTAGGTTTGTCCTAAAGCGAAACTTTGCTCGCTACGCTTTCAACGATGGGCGCTACCAGCTGTTTCCAGCCACGGATTTCGGCCCGCGATGGCTCGTTCGTTATTCTTAACGTCGTCGAGCGGCTAAGAAGTACACGTCTGAAGTAATTTCCGGTTAACGAGCCTTCTGCATCTCAAACGAATATACGCCCTGACTACCACCAGCACCGGAACTAAAACCGGATTATATGTGACCTAAAGCTAGACATTGTTGAGAAACCAACCGGGAATGTATTAAGAGAATTTAGAATAACGGAATGGTCGGTTATACATTTCGAGAGAAGTCAAGCGAAATTTAATGAGTTTTAAATTCGAGATCTCAGGTGAGATGTTAAATAAATTTTGTTTTGACAGTTCTCGGTAACATCTTTCGATAATTGTGGAAGACTCGAAAATTTGTAATGAAATTACAACGATAAATCCTCTCACCTGGTAACGTTAATCTGGTCGAAAATTTCGACGGTACCGAGCTGCCGGTATCCGGCGAACAGCATGTCGTTGCCCATTAATCCAGAGCCGCGGCCGTCGATGGCAGCATATATAATGCTTTTGTTTGTCACAAGATACATGCCCCAGTCCATGTTAAACTTCTCCGTCACCTGATACGAGTCCGGTCCACCGTACCTAGAAAGAGGAGAATTAGATTGTAAGACACACAAGGTTATCATAGACAATTATTGTCGCGGCATTTTTTTCGTTAATAAATGTCGCGCGTATATTTTTATTTGTACGTTTTATAAATTTAATTCCTGATAAATTTAATTTGAACGAATTAAAATACAAAAAAATTACTAGCAATTCTGACCGTTATTATTGATTTATGGTGTATTGCTTGGAGTATCTTGATGGACAATTTTTTTGGATAATTGTATAAAGTTTTGTATTTTAAATTCAAAAAGTAATATATGTGATCTCTTCTTATATAATATAGACAATTACAAAAAAATTAATTTTTAAAATATAAAATAATATAATATAATAATATAAAATATAAAATAAATAATAATTTAAATTTAAAATATATTAAAAAAGAAGCTCTATATTCGCGACATTTGCTTATTGTTGGCCAAAAGAAATTGACCTTTCCCTTAATTAAAAACCCAGCCAGATTCGGCAATTGTAGTAGGCTACGCTTTCTCGATTATTTCACGAAATTCCCTCGGTTTTCACGCTCATTATTGCTCTCGACGGTCGTTTGCGGGAAATCTCAGGTGCCACTTGAGGGATTCCTCGAGAGAAGGCTCGAGAGGACGAGCACAGAGAGAAAGAGAGAAAGGAATCGAAGACGATGGCGAGAATTAGGAAATGGAAGTTCACGGAGGAAGATGGCTTTTCTGATACGGCATCTTTCGAATATAGCAACCGACAGTAAAGCGGAAATAGAGACAGATAGTAACGATCCCGTGGATGATGTGATGTAAGCGCGAATGTGTGTCTGAGTATGATGGCGTGGCAGTAACATGAAACATTATGACACGTTCGAAATGGACCATACGACGACAACCGATGATCTGCTCTATCGAATACCAACTCATAGAGAAGAACGATGAACGTAAGACGGAAAGATAAAGATGCTCCAAAAAAAAGAGAAACAGATTTTGGATCATTTGTTCATAAAAAAAGTACGTGTACCTTTTTCAATTAGTTTAATTAATTTCCGTAATATGTTCTTTTATTTTTCTATATTTTTTAAATGAATTTATGAGAAAAAAATGTCTGTCAACATTATAATTATTAATCAATTAGATGATTAATATAATCAAAATGTATACTAAATTAATTGCAATGCTGCTTTATATAAATTTTTTAATTCAAGATAGAATTCATCCAATCATGCGTTCTTCTATTCTCCATTCGTGTAAATTAGTAAGACATGGTGGTTTTTAAAAAATATCAACTTAAGTCATTAATAGCAAAATAAAGTAACGTTATAATAAAGTGAATTGGATAAAAAAGAGGATATGATTGGGACCGCATTGCGGATGGGAACGCGATACATCGAGTGGTGCTTTTTATCGTGTCGATGTTGTTTCATCGTAACGACGGAGACCGCTGCGAGCTTACATGGAAAACTCATTAAGTGCAGAAACACGTGAAAATAAAGTACTAATGTCATTAACTCGTGTATTTAAATCTTAATACGTTCGCCGTTATCGTTCATTTTAAAAGGAGAAAAAAGTAGAAGAGAAGAAAGGACATTTTTTTCTCTTATGCACCATAATGTAAGAAATTCTTTGATTATGTATCACTTTTAAAATAATACGACATAAATTTTAACTTTTTTAACATATCGACTAACTTTCCGCGTCAACCATTCATTTTTCTGGCATCGCAACTTTAGTATCTTGAAAGTTTTTTGCGACTTTTGATTTGATGATCCATCGTCTATTCCGGCAACACAGATTCATATAGCGCGAACAATACGCGATCGATAATCTAGACGTAGGAAATTTCATCAGATGTGAGAAACTAGAGAGAAAACAAGCGATCGTCCGGATACCTGTGATATGTGAAAAGTCGGTGGAATCCAATATATCGTTTCGAACACGAAGACACTACAATTACTCGACTATAAAGCGAACGGAAGCTCAAACTTCTCTTTATTCGCCAGCGTCAAGCGAACGAGCGTTCATCGTGGCAATAGTTCCTCTATAAAAGTCTAACTTTTAGTTGTTTCCCTCCGCACGATCCTACATTTTCCTAGTCGGTAAAAATCTAAATCTAATACGGATAATATGATCTATATAGCATTTGCAATGTATGTAAATTATCCATTAATTGTCATGTACAAAGAATTTATTGAAGGTATGTTTATTGAACGTTTAGTTCTCCATTTTATCTTTTTCATATAAGAATATTATTATATATTTTAAGAATATTTTATTATAAAATATTTCATAATATTTTACATTTTATAATATTTTATTATGTAATATTTTAATATATAATATTTTAATCTTCACAAATTAAGGAATCCCTTAAAACTGAAAATATTCTTTTAGAATTTTTTCTTTCAATAAAAAACGGGATGACAATTAATGTAAATTTATCATATGTTTAAGAAATTTTTTTAAAATTAATTACAATCGTCTATAAAATATTCACAGTGAAATAATAAATATATAGGATTCTTTAAGATTTTTCGTTAAATATATTTTTGCGAATATGCGCAATTAAACTCTACTAAATTATCTAAATTTTGATTATCTTTAGCGAACAGAGGAATCGTTGTTGAATATATTTTTCGTTACTATCTTCCTTCTGACCGTTAATGCATAATGCGAAGCTTGCACTTTAGAAATGCGGACATCGCAACACACATAACTTCTACCATAAACTCTTTGTACTTTCAAAGTACAGACCTGCCTACAAATTAGGCGTTATTAGAATTTATACCGGAAAGTTATATCAACCTTTCTAGAGCGTGTAGAGCTTACCGCGTACATGTGTTTCTTCCGAGAAACGCATAAAGCTCGCCATAATGATTAGTTGAATTATTTTTTCCGATGGAAAAACAAGTGTACTACCTTGACAATATTTTTCATTAATGTAATTATGGACGAGTACGGGTCAGAATCGATAACGGGCCGCTTTTATCGGGGAAACCGCTCAAGTTTTCGTTCGTGAGAGTGAATACGGAATGACTCATCGCTTCGTGGTTTTACATCCTGCCCTAATTCAGGCCACGTAAAGGAGAGCTTCGTTTTCACGTCACGGTGCAGATTGCGTTCCGCTGCTGCACGTTCGTCATTGCTCTCCATTACGCTTATCTCGCGGCTGCATTATGACGGAACCGATTGATGATGCCCGCGGAGTGCGTTGTCATATTTCTTGTCGCTTCTCGAAAAATATGAGTGCTTTTAAGTGTATGAGAGACGCGCGACGCCGAAAAGCGACTAATGTAAGAACTCGGTCGGGGTGGTTAGAAAGTGCCACTATGTCGGGCATGACAATTTGCCAGAATACACGGTATATCTCTGATATATTTTATCGATAGAATTTTATCGGTCACGAGGTTAAATGATTAAGAATATCTTTCGCTCTGTATCTTAAGAAGTTTTCTGCGAAATCTCAAAGGAACTCTGTGTACAATACATGTAATCTTAAAATATTTATCTTAATTTTAGCAGAGATTAAGCGAATTATAAAAGTATTTAATTTATTTAAAAATTTATATATAATATATAATATGAATATTAATTAATATTCATAAGCATCTGAATATTATTTGCAAACTTTGATTCTTGAGCGAGATACAGCAATATGTTACTTTCGTATACCTTTATCAGACACAGAGAGAGAGAGAGAGAGAGAGAGAGAAAGAAAGAAAGAGAAAGAGACTTTGTTTATTGGAAAAATTAAAGAACTTACACATAAACCAGCATGGGATACTTGGTAGCACCGCTCAAATCAGCACCAGGTGGGATCAGGAGCCTCACCTGGGCATTAAAGCCACCATCAACTGGGATTTTGTATTTCTGGACGATCGGCTGCGATCTCTCCACTATTATCTCAGTTACCACGTAATTATCCTCCCACACGAAGAGCAACGTGGAATTCTGAAAATGAGAAAATGCTGGTTTAATATATACAGGATAGCTACAAATGATAGCATAATACAAGATTTATAGAGATTATTTTATGCTTACGAATATACGTATAAATATATGCAATTTTCTAATAATAATGCTAAAAATCGTGCAAATTAAATGCAAATTTTTTGAATGCATAATAAATAAATAAATATATATGTAATATATATATTATGTATATATAATTTATTAATATTTTATATATTTATATATGGCTAAATTAATCACGTCTATCTTAATAATAGCACTCTATCTTCTTAACGCACTCGATTTTCCTTTCATCTTTATCCTCTATCTTGACTCATCAATTGTCGGTTGCCTCCTAATTTCGATGCCGCCATAACCATAATAGATTACACCGAGGGCAGAGAATAACACATCGTCAACACACAGAGACATCGCAAACTTACGACGAAGTCGTAAGACCAGAAGAACCTTTAACGGTTTGCCTTCCCTAAAGTGCTTCGCAACTTCAGTCGACACTTGCCTCCCCCTTCTTCTCCCGAAGATTTGCTGATCGGAATCGATTCGGTCCAAAGGGCAACTACTTTTGTAAGTAGTTGTCCGAAGTTCCTCTTTTTTTTTTTTCCTCGGCGAAGATCGCGAGAGGGAAAGAAGATTCGCGGTATAACCCGGTAAAAAAATTGCATTAGAAGACCGAGCCAATGCTCGGCAAAGAGCGTCGCTAAAGTTCCCGGTTTCCGTTTTTGCGCCGAGTTTACTCGCGCAAATTCTATGGCCATCCCTCTCTCTCTCTCTCTCTCTCTCTTTCTCGGGAAAAGGGGATAGATCGGGGCAAATGTAGCGCGCAATCTGCGAGCTTTTGTACGCCGGGAGACGCCGCCGTTTGCTCGATTCTGTGATGGTGAATCTCGATTTTGCATCGCAGCGAACTTTTTCTCACGCGAAATCGGCATTTGCCGAAGTTTCGTCGCTGAATGACAGGCGATCCGCGAGGCGTTTCCGGCTTTTGTGGGAGCGAATCTCGTGCCGATCGCGATATGACGCAGCGATATCGATTTTCGATTGAGACGGGAATATATATATATATGTATACACATTTCTTTTTTTCGTTTTTTTTCCTCGCGAATTTTTCGCCGCCTCAACAGGGTGACTGCGAGTGTGTTTGCGCGCATGTTTCGCGTAGAGTGGAAATTGATAAAATTTTAGAGAAAAGCCAAGAAGTGACAAAGCATCTCTGCTTTTACCGCGTAAATTTCACGCTTATTTTAACTCTCTGGAAAACATAAAAGGCAAGAGACTTTTTCCTCAAAGTTATAAGATAGAAAAAAACCGTGTTTTCTCCTGTTATTTTTAAAAAATTATTTAAAAATTTTACGGTTAAATTTTAATTGAAACAATATTTAATTGAACTTCTTACAAAGCATTTAATAATCAATATTTAATTGAACTTCTTACAAAGCATTTAATAATCAATATTAGAAAACTTATGAAGAGAAAAAAAACGGAATCAACCATATTTTCCTTCAATCTTTTATGTATTAATTTATCTATTTCCGAACGCTTGATATTTTATCTTTCCTCTAAAAAATAGGGGGTGAAAGTTCAAATAATAATATGTAACTATTATTTATTGTCGATCACGAAATCCATGATATAAAACCGTGATATCGGAAACGACCACGAATCTGAGTTGTTATAAATATATACAAGAGGTTAAAAAAATTGAACTTTAAATTATAATCTCGCTACGTCAAATAAATACACGAATTTGTAGCCAGGCGATGACGGGAGAATCGCTTCGATACAACAGGAAATAACGAAGTAGAATATGGAACAGTTATATACGATCAATTGATATCGCTTTGAGCCTTTTGCAAATTTCAATAATGCCGATATCATAATATCTACGTAATTGGATCGGCATGCAAAAGTACACCATAAATCACATCAGAGTGCGGCAAAGATGGGTAAAGGGATTCCAGAGAGGATTTTGCACATGTTTGCGAACTTCGTGCATGCACGCGCAATATCCACGTGAAACAAATTACTCTATTAGTTCCAGCACAAATTGGATTAAAAATGTGCACCGTCATATTACAGTCTTATAGCGGTCTCTTTTATGGAAAATATGCAATAAAATATTTGTAATTCAATAATAAGCGTTTGGTCCAAATAAACATGGATGGTATTTTGCAGTTTGTCACAATTGTAAGGTAAATAAAATAGATAAATTTAATACGATAATAATGTACCCTTAAACCGTTAAAATAATATAAAGATTGCAAAAAAGCAATAAAAAGATGTTAAAAAAAGTTTATACTTTCAAAAGTATTATTAATAAGACTTCAATATTGAATTATTGATTGAGCAGTTTATAAGATTTAAGAAAGCGCAATTTCTCTTGTGGCTGCAATTAATTTCACAGATTTTTAATAATTAGTCGATGTAGACGTTACACGAATCAAGAAAGAGAAATGCGGGAATTTATCCGCGTTAATTGAAAACGGCCAAAGTCGAACGGAAGCGTCGACAGAGTCGATTCGCACGGTGTAAAAGCGCGAATTTCATCGGCAAAGTCACTCTTTAACGTAATTGGATTAATGTTCATTGTCGACGGTTTCCCGAGCGAGAAGACCAATTATCAGCGTTAAGCGGTCGCGCAAAAATAAGGGAAAAGAAGGGAAACAAAGACGCCGGATAGTCAGATTTTCGCCAAGTTCGCTCTTTCCGCTCCGTCGATCGCGATAAAGCACGTAGATTCGTACCCGACATCTTACGTTAGTCGTGTCCCCGAAGTTCAATGACTTCCACTTCTCCTTCGCGTCTGCATCTGTCGCTACGATAATCAGATTACAAGGGAATCGTCCGATGCATATCTTATTTCTTTTTTGGCGAATCGAGACATTTCAAAGACATTTCTAAGTGTAATGTAATTTAAAGATCCAATATAGCTCTCTCTCGCTCTTTTTCTCTCCCTTTCTCTCCACATATATTTATATTTAGTTATTTATTATAAATTTAAATTAATAAACTTAATTTATAATAAATTTAAATTAATAAATTTAATTTATAATAAATTTAAATTAATAGATTTAAATTTATTATAAATTAAATTTATTATAAGTTACATTTATTATAAATTAAATTTATTATAAATTTATTAATTATTAATTTTGGACTCTCTCGCTCTCTTATACCATATATATGATTAAATTGCTATTGTTGTGGTCACAAATGGTGTCTCGCACAATTTGTGACGTTTCGATTTATCTGTCATCATATATAAAGTCGACGAAAGAGTTTGATTATCGAAAGTAATGAAACTTTCATCCGATCGCAAACTTTTTCTGGCGTGCGGTTACATTGGCGAATAAGCAAATGGACGGATAGATTATTAGATAGACTGTGGGAAGAGAAAGAAAAGAGAAGTTCGAAAAGAGAGGAGTTTCCTCTCTTGAATATATTTAAATCTTTAAGTAATTTTCGATCGATTCATGAGAAAGATACAAGAGCAATATAATAGAGATGCGGTTGTTGAAAGGGAAACGAGATGCGCGAAATAATATTTTCTAAGATAACAACTTGTATTCAAAACATTACTGTAATATGCACACTAATATACTCGCTGCTGAATATGCTCTTGTCGAAGTTCATATTCAGAGGCCAGTAATTGGAGCTTGTAATAAGGGAATGAGAAATGAACGTGCGTTTGCATTAATACAAGTTAATGAAGTGATGTTTATATGTATGAATAACGATAGGTTTCAATGTCGGTTGTCGTTAATGGGTGAATTAAACTTGCTAATCGTTATTTACTAAAATGAACTTACACTTCATTTATCTACATCATGACGAGTATTATGATTGGGAAATAAACGAAGAATCGATTTAAATAATGCAATTAAAGTCATAATGCAATTAAACGTACGAAATCATTAGAATTATGCGCCAAAAAGCTATGCATGAATAAGTTTTACTTAATTTTCTGCAACTTATTTTTTTTCTTCTCGATACTTGTTAATATGCTCTCATAAATATTTCTTAATCCACATTGAATTATGCGTTGTGAGAAATATCAACGTATGTTAGAACTTATTAATATTATGAATAGGAATGTTATGGTAATAAACATGCATAATTTTCTATATCTGCACGACGTGATTACTATCGTACTTTCAATGAAAAAGTATACTGTAGAAACGATGATATCGCGATGTAAATGCATTCTAAGTGAATGGAAAATGAAATTATAATAGTGTTTCTCTTATATGAATGTAACATGAATACAACATGAATATAACTTATATAAATTTACAGATCTACTATATATATATATATATATATATATATATATATATATATATAAAATGTATATTTAAAAATTACCTTTGATAATTTTAATGAATCCTTCAAACAATATAAAATAAATAATAAAATAATAATATATTTTTCTCTTTAAAAAAATACAAAGAAATCATGGTCGTTATAATATTTTCAATATTTAATATAGAATATCTTAACAGGTTAAATTTCCGTAATTATAATTGTAATAAAAAATAAAGTTACATAAAGTTTATTTAGAGATTTAACGCTTAAATTTTTTAGGTAAATGATGTAAGCGATTTTATTATTCGCGTAAATTTGAAGGTAATGAAGAAAAATGTTTAGCGTGTAACAAATTTTATTTCACGCTGTTACATTTTGTTCACTGTATATGTTACTAAGTTTATACGCATTCGGAATCGTCGATGCCTATTATCGTTCGCTGCTGATTGCGTCACATTTCTGTCAATCTGTTTTATTTGCATAGCGAAATTAGAAATCGATTCAAAACGTGACTAGATCGAGAAACAAGCACCGCGGTCAAACAGCGATAAATAGAGACAAAATATTTTTGACAGCTTATGCAACCCCTTCAAAATACAATCGATATCGATAATAATAATAATAATAATTTAATCTTCGATATATAAGAATGCGTTTCGAAAAATTTGCACCGCTATGCAATTTCTAATTACACTATCGAACGCGCATAACAACCAAGTGCTCGCCAAGATAAATGGCCTTTTAGTTTTCGCGCTTAATACCCTCCTCCTACGCGGTGGAAACGAATTCGAAAACAATACGAGAAAATATTTATATCCGCAGCGCTCGCGGTTTAAATGTATCGTTATTACACCGGTACCATTGTGCGTTGCATTCTCATGCATTGTCATGCTTTTTACGGAGACAGAAACAGTGTCGCGATAATCTGTCTCGGCGTGATTCCGATCCGATTAGGCCGAGCGAATCGTATCGCGGGCGCAATGTATTTTGCGCGTAGAATTTCGAGGACCAGCTTTGTATACATGACTCGCTAAGGGAGACAGAGAGAGCGTGTATGCAAGAGAGAGAGAGAGAGAGAGGGGGGAGAGAGAGAATGTACTGTGCAAGCCGCTCGTATATTATTCACAGTACAGTACCGGGACTCAACCGTACATAGTACGAGCGCATTCTATTGCTGTAACAATTTATTCGATTCGGCGGCCTGATAGGTGACCGGGACCTCGTGTACCTCTCACTAGCAGAATTACGCGGCTGTCATCCATACGTCTATATCACATGCAAATACGCGAGAGAGCGATACGAAAAGATCATTGTGTTCGCGGTTCCCCGGGTATAATGTAACGATTTGCGCAACTGCATTGGAGAGCAGAAGGAATTTCGCAGAATGTACACGCGAATCTCCCCTATCTCTCTTTCTCTTCCTATTTACATAGCATCAAATTTGTATAAACTTCGACTGCGTGCAGTGTAATGCTTAATGAAATGCGTTTATCAAACGCGCGCTGCGGCACAATAACATTGAATTCAAAGCTGAAACTAATACGAAGATGGGAATACGATATATCCGTTGTGTTCTTTTGGCTTGTAAAATTAGAGGTACGATCTGATGCGTGTGGTAATTTTATTTTGAATAGAATGTTAATTACTTCAAAGTTAATTTCACATGCATATTTTAAATGTATTTTTTATGCATACTGATTCATTTATTTTTTATAAGAGAAATAATAATACGTATTATATTGAAAAGAAATAATTATACGTATATTTAAAAGAAATAATTATACGTATTATATTGATATTTATTATTATATAAAAATATAATATCGAAATACAAGGCTCGACATTTATATCCTTTTTACCAAATATGTTATTTGGTTTCATTATTTTTTTTAACAATATTATCGTTGCGAAAATTAAATTATTGAGAAATTTTATCTTTTGTAGAAACTTTTTATTTCGATAGAAAATTTAAGCTTTTAAAAATACTGCGCAAAGTGTTTTAAAAATGTATAGATAACACATACCTTATTGTAGATGGTTATGTCGGGCACTCCAGGGCCAGCACAAGTGAGCACGTAATGCGAATTGTCAGTGGAGAATACAGCACTGTTGTACAAACAGCGACTGCCGTCCTCCTCTCTGACAATGTTACAAGTCAAACACACTGACTTGTGGTCCGCATCTAACAACGACACTCTATATAAATGCTGAACCGCCGAATCGTCTTTCGAAGTTGCCAAGTAATATCTGCAAAATAGAAGAAAGAAATATTCTTTTCAATAAATATTCATAAACGTGATAGATCTCGATGTTAACTTTCTTGTAAATAATCGTAATGTTTTCAAAAAATTATTTTTATCATTATTTTTCTCTTTTAAAATTGACTTTTATTTTTATACGCAATGTACAATAATCTGACAAAGAGATCATCGTTTTACGTGAGCATACGTATGTGTGCGAGAGAGAAAAATTTGCGCGCATTAGAATAACGTCGCCGCTAAGAAATTAGCCCTTCGGCATCTGCATTGTGGGACATGAAGAACACCTGTTGCGACCCTAAGATATTCGCGATAGAGGGGTTGGCGAAGACAAATTGTCCACCAAGCTCGATGCCGTCTCACCAAGACGATATTCCGCGCGAGAATATATATATAGTATTTAGTCGACTATTATTATCCCTCGCGTCTCCCTCAAGTGACAAAGATATTTCGCGAAACGGCGGCTCGATTAATACTCAAGAACATTGCACAGAGGCGCGCAATTTCCATATGGACCGCAGTCCATCAGGATGCCAATTTATGGAGTTGTTCCCGTTCTGACCTATCAAGCGGCTACCGTTGACAGAATGCTACCATTAGATACAATCAGAAAGCTGATGGTGTAAATTGCGACTATTGACTGACCGCTGCTTGCCGGTAGCTACCGCTCTGATGCAATTACGCATTAATCAAATCTATTGTTCTCCGGTCCTCAATGTTCTCTCGGCTAGCGATACGCTAGAAGAACTGTCTCTTTCTTTCAAAGATCTCGTTAACGTAAGGTAGAAGGTCTGAAAAATACGCCTGAGAAAATTATATGAACAATACTTTGTTCGTATCTTTCTAATTATATTTAATATGCAGCTCGAAGAAAATTTTTATTCGAGATAAAGAATAAATTTTATTTCGAATTTTGATTCGTGAAAATATTTCTTCAGCTCTTCGAAAGTTGATAATTTTCAATGTAAGGGATGATAAAATAATACATTTTCATGTCAGCGCTACCTTGCAATTTCCAGTTCGCTCGATAGTGTGTGAAAACGCGTATCTTGTATGAGATTATTACATATTTAACAAGATAAGAGGACCCTTCGAAGTTTAGGTCCAAAGACCAAGGGTATGTTCATGAATCCTCTATCACCCGCGAAAACCGAGGGGGAAACCTAGGCAAACACGTTAAGTCGCCAGCATTTCCGTCGGGCTGGCAAGATAGATGACTCGGGGTTATTTAGAATGGATTAATTCGAGCATCCTGTTAATTTAGCCTATCGCATCAATCTTGAACGACCTCGAGCCGCGCGCTGCCGTCATTCACCCGCGCGTATCCGCGAATCCGCAACTTCTGCGGGCTCTCTCCGCCTCGCGCCTTTCCGCGAAAATGAAGATCGATCGATTTCGAGCAAGTCGTTTCCGGGACCCCCGGGACCCTCGGGACTCCACCCGGCAGCTGATACTTCATTGTCATAATCGGGGATGACAGTATTACGGCGGGATTAAATTCTGCGGTTGGATGTACCCAATAGTCAAAGATATGTCGCATCTTTACAGCAAATTACGGACATTTACAACAATTTCGCACGTCAAAGGAATTCCGAAAGCAAATTGCGAATATTCTATCATTTCCTATGAATTATAATCCGTATGGATAAGCGGAGTAGCCTTGAGGATGTTTTGTACGTATTTTTAAAATATTTAGAATTTAATGAAAATTATACAAAATGTCCTTACATATGTTTAGAATCTTTAGTACAATTTTTTAATCGATTCACTAAAGCGTTCACAAGTTAAGGATTTTAATTTGCACCGAATTAACATGTGTTCTTATGGGAAACGTATAACCACGTATAAAAACGCAATAAATATTAAAAAATACATCTCTGCACTATAGCTAAGATCAATTGTAATATTCCACGCAATTTCTTACTCAAAATACACATGTAACATACAAAAGTGGATATATTCGTCAATATTGATTTTCAGCTACTTTTTGCTGGGATTGTACATACAAAACATCCTTAAATTAATCGTTAATTTATCGTTAATTTTTACATAATTGGAATTATTCATGAGAAAACGATATCGAGGTTTTAATCTTTAGAGATTTTTTTCACACGATTATCGAGAATTCCAAAATGAATGATGACAAACAACATCTTTTATATTTAATAATTACAATAAATGATTGCATGAGTTCCATGAAATTTCAAAAAATTTTTCTTAAATGGATAAAGAAGTACATAAAATAAAATGAAGAATTTTCTGATGATTTAATTGAGCGGAATTCGCTCGTCCTGCCTGGTCGATTCGGATAACCGATAGAGCAATTTTTCTTCTCTTCGTGGTGGTCTCTCTCGCTTCCCTTCCCCTAGCTTCTAGCGCATTACTACAATTGATCCCGGTACATTAGTTACGCCAAGTAATATATCTACTGCTGCCATTTAATTACAGACAGCAGCTTCTCGAGCGGCTCAAAGTAGCGATCTTTCGAGCGCGGCAAGTATTTCCTAATGAAATTAGTCAACAAATCCATCGTCCGGGGGATTGCTGATAAGTATAAACTCAGCGCATGCCAATTTTATCTCGTTCATGAAGTATTAACGGCGTCTTCGTCTTGCTATTCGGGTGCGACTTTGGCAGTTGTCGATTCGCCAAGTTTCCAAATTGCAAAGTTAACTTGCAGTTACTATGCGATATTAAAAGCTAATACCGAAAGCTGCAAGTTTCGGAAATCTGGAGCTAAACCCGGAATTACATTGGGAAGTACATATCGGATATGTGCCCCCCCCCCCAATCCCCAAGTCATAATGACAAATGTATTCATTATGCAACTTTTATGATATCTGGATATTGATATTGTTGCTTGATTTTCGAATGAGCACAAAATCGAAATAATCCCAATAAGTGATCGATCATTACTGGGCCTTTCAATTTTGAGAAGCAAATAAATAATTAAATAAATTAAAAATTTTCTGCAGAAAATTATTATCGTAAATCGTATAAGAGACATCGTTCTTCCCCTTTTTATTCACTACTTTTCAAATTCTATTTCGTAGGTAATTCCGCGATAAATTCTACAGTGTTTATCGCACGTCGGAGATCGGAGGTTGAATAAACGTTCAATCCTTCTGGTAATCTGTTTATCGATAATAGAGTTCATTGTTTCATCGGAAGTCGCTTCTAAGCGCAATATTACACGGTGCAACAATGTTTACGCATATATTCCGTAATACAGCGATTCGCAGGCGCACCTCGTAATTTCGCCGGAACTTCTTTGCATAAAAGCGTAGGCGTAGGCGACATTTTACACGGCAATTTTCACCGTAGCGCACGCGTGCGCGAATCCGCGCTTGCGAAGCGCCGTTTCCAAGTTATCTGTCTTACGAAACTACGCGATGAAACTTTCAACGGTGCAATTTAAAGTTGGCCTATCGCGACAGGCTGCTCGTTCGCGCGTCGCAAGGAACCCTTTCTCAGGCGAACTCAAAGTATATCTATTTCAGGTTGTTCACCCATTTGTGACGATAACTTGTTATTCACGTTACACGCCGCTTATCGATCCTGTGGTACACGCACGATAATGCGATAAATTCTCACGTAATAAGGGAGGGAACGAGTGTAATATAAAAATCGCGACTTTCTTCCGTTCCAGTTTCTGGCATTTATATTGGACATTTTTACGTTCATACAGAGCCTATATATATGTTAATATAAAAAGAATTTGAAATGACCGGTTTTAATTTCGACAGAAATGTAATGGAAGTTTAGAATTTTACGAACGCAAAATTTAGTTATGTAAAATGATTATTTTTTTTAATTCATTTACATTGTAACGAAGAACAATCTTTGGCTTTAATATCTTGTCAACTGTCATTACAATGTTACAATGTGATAACCGTATTCTTGATGCTTTGATCTCGAGTTTCATTGTACAGGTTTAATTGCGTATGAATGCCAGAGTCTGTAGCCCGAATAAAAAAGGTCGAGAAATGAGATTACGGACCGTTGGGATGAGAATTATGAATATTTAGTACAAGCACTCGCACGAGAGCAGTTTCACATATTCGGACAGCTTGCAAGGTGTTGTTAGACACGAGTCAAAATTAATGCTCATGAAAGAAATTAGAAATTCCTGAGGATCCGTTTGATTAATCATCTTCTAATTCTGAATACGATTCACTAAATTAAAAAAAATCTAAGCATGTAAAATATATATTTTTACAGAAAAGTCGAAAGAATATAATCCTTTATCCTTATATCAAAAAAAAAAATAGAAATTAAAAATAAAAAATGAAATAAAAATAATTGAAGTTAATTTAATGCTATACTTTTTAATCGTAGTAAAAATGAAAGTGAAATCAAATCTTTATTATATATATAAAAAAATAAAGTATAATATTTGATGTCACAGTTTAAATATAATTGTAAAATCAGATAAAATTACATTGCTTTATTAAACGCATGTTGCATACATACCGTGTATTAAAGTTTCTATAACGTATGTACTGGAAATTCCGCGGGAGCCTTTGGGAGTCGCTAACATTGAATATTTAAACAATGCGGTTTCAGAAACATTCGGCCCCCAAAGACTTGACGTAATTATCACGTCACAATGATCGATGCGATCCATTGCGTCCAATTTTTCGATACATACATCACGAATTTACTTTGAATTATCCTCCCCATTAATTTCGAAAATTGGAACCTCTCTATCCTTCCTGAGACTTTAACGAAAGGCGTTGCGGCCAGTGCTCGTGCTCGTGCCGCGGTATTGTCAGAACAATCTACGTTATATAAACGGATAACGGCAGAAATTCTTCCGATGAGGTAGCGAGTATCGTTATTGCTTTCAACGGTGCAGGGGAGATCGCGGGACGGGAGGGATGGGGGACCTCGTCCCCCTTTCCCCTCCTCCTCTTTCCGCGCGTTCCACCGCAAACTGATGGACATTTCGCGGATTCTTTCCAACAGCGGCGGTCCCACGTGTAACGA